ATATCCCATTCCGTGTTGCTCACACATCGAGAACACATATCTCACCTTATCGCCACCATGCTCACTAGACCAATCACCCAACTCATGTCTAACGGTAGACCTCTGTAGATCCTAAGTCCTCGGGATAATCCTCTATTACTAAATCACTTCTCCGAACTTAAATGGATAATGAGTCTCCACCTAACAAAACTGATAGAAGTGTCCTCTCATACTCCACCTGATCATGATCTCTTCATAGATAAATGATTCGAACATTTAATCACCTCTCAATTCATGATTCAAATGTCACCCTTCACATTCCCGATACAAACCACCAATGCACCCTTAGGCATCTATACTACATCTCACCAATAGACATCATCACTTCTAATACATTACAAAACCATTATGGTAAATCAACACCTTTGGCAACCACAAAAGTTAGACCTCAATATAAATCAACCCATGCACCACAAGGTTACCCTAACACCAATGCTCAAAAATCCACAGATAAATTGGGTGAACGTGACACTCACAAAGAGAATGGAAGAAAGAGTTGGTTACTTCAGTACACTCATAAAAGAGGATCACAAAGAGGAATAAGATAATCCACATATGGCTGCCTCACATAATCACACAATTACATAGGCTCACAATGATGAAGAACAGAATGGCCACTCCTCTTTTTTCTGACTACCACACTCTCTCACACCACTCACAAAGCAAAAAGAGGGCGTCATAGATTTCAACCCACTATGCATGCAAAACAATTACACCAAGTAATTAAATTGCTCTCAAATTCATTCAAATGCACATACCAAACACATTAAAATGTACATATAACCTCACTAGGGTTATCACTTGATCTTATAGCCATATTCACCTTGTCTCTCACCTTATCTTTCCTTTTATTATCATTCCAAATTTATCGTAGTTAAAACATATCTTACTTTTCACACTTGCCTTAGACCTACATTTGCCATCAAAAGTTATATGAAAAAACCTTTTCATTTTTTCAAATTAAAAAATCACATTTTTCACTAAAATAGCATAACTCAAAATGTGTTTTTACCCAAAAAAATACACAAAATGCAACCAAACGACGACCACAAGCAAAGTATAGACACAATTCATAGAGAATGGTCAAATAAACTTTTCTAAGGTCACGTGCAATTTTATTCATGAAAAATAATTGACAATAAATTTACGAAAAATTTAAGACAAATAATTAACAAGAAATTTCTAGGTCTAGAAACATGCAATAGTTACCCCTTCACGATAATCCAAACCTAACGTCACCCAACACGATGACTTCTATTGCGAAAAATAAATGGCTATGCTACACAATAATTTTAACTGCAATTACAAAAGAAAGAACTCAATACCGAGCGACCACATCTGAAGGTCCGTAAATATCGAGAGATGAGAATTTATCACTGTAGGACCACCATTATTCGTCTTAAGGTCTCCAACAATCGCAAGAATCAATCAACCACGATCGAATCCGAAACACACGAAGAACACAATCGCCCAAACTTCGCTGTATAACCTGAAACAAAACTAACAACACCAAAATGTCAAGAAAAATGTCAGGAACAAACTGCCTGAAGATACTGTTGTTGGGAAACCCTCCACACGCTCTCATGCACCACTCAAACTCTTTGCACGTGGGCTCCACTCGTCTCCGCCAAGCGCCACTAAGACCTCATGAGCGGGCCACCCAAGAGTGCCTCCACCTGCACGTCACGCTGGTGGTCTCCATTTCGCTAAACTCCTTTTGGATTGATCGAAAATTTCGAAAACATTGTCAAATTTTGGGTAGTTTTCTAACAGTTTTTCAATCTATTTTTCTGCTTCGTTTCATCCACTTTTCTGATCGGTTTTTGGTCAACTTTTCAAGCCAAATGCACCACCTTGAAATTTTGATACCAATTGTACCGAAAGCTTGCTCTAAGGCTAGGTAAAACGGTGTTTTTCGAGCTCAGTTTTACGTTACCTTTATCTACCAAACAACAAATCCAAACCGCTCCACCTACAACCAATATATTCACATCAGCTGCTCCTCAATCTCAACCACAGACAATAAAATAATGGCAATGATTTGTAAGCCATAAAGCACGAGAAAAACAATGGAAGAAACACAAGATGGAGGCCAAAACACAAAGAAAGCCACCGATTTTCTCTCTAAGCAAGTTGTCTATTTTTTTCCTTCTAACACACAAATCATACACAAAATGGTTAGGGCAAAGACACCATATATATATATATGCTAGGTTAAACTTTAGTTTGACCAATAAAAGATGTTAAATGGGCCAAGATTCAAAACCATCCAAAATGTGATATATATGGGTATTGAGCAACATTAATTGTTTAAATTACTTCCAACGATCCACATTGTTTTCGGGTTGAACTTTTGGACTTGATTGTTGATAATAATTTAATCTAACGTTTACATTGTCGCCCAAAATTCATTGAGTATCAAATCCCAACAATATTCTCAAGATTTATTCTTGTGGTGATCTGAGTTTTGGGATTGAAATGACATTTACTTGCCCAAATGAATGTAAGTTCTTGTTTGGTCTCCATTAAAATTTTAATATATTTCTTTTTTTTTCTAACCACACTTTTTTCAATAAAATAATATTATACTTAAATCCAAAATTTTCCTTATTTTTAACAACACGTTCTCTAAAAAATATTATTTCATAATACATTTTGTCAAAACTTTATTAAAATGGAGCCCAAACAAGAGCTAACTAAGTTTATATTATATATTCCACGTAATATTAATGCATGGAATCGAGCTTGTGAATTATGGGATATTTTTATACTAAGCCCATGTTTGGTACACATTTTTTCAAAATACATTCTTTAAACTCATTTTCAATCATACATTCTTCAATAAAATAATATTTTCCATCACATCAATAATTTTTCCTTATTTTTAACCATATATTTTCCATCATGTCACTATTTAAAATACATTTTTTTCTCAATATTATTCATCAAACACACCCTAAAGCAAATTACTGAATATTAAAGTTAAATAATTGTTGGGAGAGGTGTTGGATCGAGACATTTGGATATGATCATATTTTTCAAGACCAACAAGTTAAATTTTAAAACTTGACAATTTCATAAAAAATGTACAGAATGCATGAAGAAACACACCAGTCCGAGCATACCGTTGGTTTTTTTTTTTTTTTTCCATAAACCAAAAACTATTGAGACGATGGCCTATGCTATTTTTGTTTAGAATTTTGCTACTTTGATAAATGTGTAGGTGGATAAAAATGATGATTGTACTTAAAAAAGTTCAATGTGACATTATGTCAACCTGTCTATCAAAAAAGATGGCTGTGTAGCATGACTATTTTATTTATAAAGGCTATTGAAACCAAAAACTATTGTTTTATAAATGCTAGGCTTGTCGCGGATATCGTTTGCACTTATCCTTTATGTTTTCATTTATTAAGAACTAAAATTGGAGAAAACTTCTAAAACGAGAAATGGTGAAAACTAACTATTTAATTTTACAATTCTTCTCAACGAAATTATAAGTAACTTCTGAATTCTTCATAATATCCCAAGAACCTCGACAAATTTTCTGCAATTTTTAACCCAACATAGCTTAAAGAGAAAAACTCAAGACAATATTCACACTCCAAAATGTGACATCGACGCAGAGATCTTCTGTTTCTTTCCTCCATTTGACAAATTACAAGAAAAATTGATTACTAAATTAACTATAAATAAATAAAAAGAAAAGGATCAAATGACCAAGGAGAGCAAGAAATGAATGTCTTTAATTAATCAGTAACAAATTTCGAATTCAGTCAACAGAAACAAACATTATTCTATCAGCAAAATATATCAAGAGTATTAGAATTGTATACATCGTTGATTCTATTCTTGAAATGAATCAAACATCATTCTATCAGCCAAAAAATGTTACTTGGCGCAGATAAACAGCACCACCTCTTCCCAAGGATCTCTTGAAAAGAACCGGCCTACTGCAGATAAACAAAACCACCTCTTCCAATGGTCCCATTATCACATAAGGAAACAGTGATCTTGAGAATATAATAAATCCCAAGTCTGAATTTAGCTTCAGTACGTAAACGCACTCAATGCAGTTCCCAAATCGCCTAGTCGTAAACCAAAAGGAAATTCCATAAGTAGGATATATCCATGTATAACTACAGCAATTTTCTACACATTTCAATAATCAGGGAATAAATCAGAAATCTTTAATTCTATTATACTAATTACCCTGTAAAGTATTCGTGAATTGCTTGCCGAGAGATTGGTGGGAATTCAGGGAAAAATTTCATGAACAAGGTTCTTTCCGGTGCATTTGCTGGAGGTTTGAAGGGCTGGGCATTCGGGTTCAGATTAGACCCGGAGGATTCTCCCACAGGATTCTTAGCTTTGCCTTTATCCATAGAAACAAGACTCAAAGAAATGTTTGTATAATCTTGAATTCTTCTTGGTTAGCGAAGAATAATTTTGAAAACTACTGTTTAACTGTACACAGCAAGAAAAATCGATACACTCTCTATATATAGACATTTCATTAGACTCAACTAAAACCATAACTAACTTAACTAACTCAAGTCTTGATCTGCTGTAGTCGATTGCAGAAGTTAAAACCTTTCTGTGATGCCTTTATGTATCTGAATTCTGAAGTCAACTTAGAGAAGATTGTGAACCACTTACATATTAACACAATGTATGAAGCATTGTCTATCTATTTTAGATTTACGGGTTTTGAGTGGAAACTCTAAAGCATATTTTGCATTTTTTTAAAGCTATGCATGCCCTAAATGATTTTCCTAATATGTGTACATATTTTTTGATAAAGTGGGTACCTGTTCAGTTTCAAAATTATACAAGTAGGAGTTCTTGAATCAGAATCGTGGATGATTTTGGAACCAAATTTTTATTTTTATAATTTTTTTTAATTTTTCACTCTGATCCAATAAATCGGCTCAACAAGTAACAAGTTTGCAAGGTCCAGCTAATAGCTAGTTTACAAAGTCTAATAGTAAATACGATAATCAATCAAAGTCATCCATTTAAATAATTGAATCATATAACTTCCATTTATAAACACTCGTGACAGCACTTTACGCGCTACACATCCCATTAATCTTTTTTGAGGCCCCGCTTGTCGAGTCACAATTAAAAATGAATACCATTTACTAGATACTGGATCTTATTTGGTGGTATATTCGTAGCGAATTAAGAAAGTGGTGAAATATATAGTTGGTAGCGTATAATTTTATTTCTTATATTTATGCTAGATATTAAGAAGATAATTTGTATTGTGAGCTCACTTTTTTCCCCCCGGCTATAATTGAATTCAAATTCGGATCAACGATTTATGTTTGGGTTTGATTTCAAATTACGTAGACTTAATGGTTTCATTTACGAAATGCCCGAAGCACAATAAGTGTTTTCGAGTATTGTAATACCTCGAATGACTCTCCCTACATCCAGACCTAATTGCACTTGCAAAATGGAAAGCGCGAGTTTGTAAGAGACAGAGGCATACAATGAAACCATGTGAACGGCTGTATCTCCTGGGAGATGAATGGCCACTAACCCCCTTTAATTCAGGAGGTTGTTTCGTCTGGGGGTAACACATCACACTCTACTCCATTAATCTTGAAAGTTGCAGGATTTTTAATTTAGATTAAAATAACAAAATCAAACATTATTAGTCGAACAGGTAAAAAAGTGTGACTAGGTTACTATTCCCATGATGTCTATATTTAATTAAATCTAGCCTTAAATCAAATTAAATCATATTTTGAGTTTTAATCGATTTTTTTTTTTTACCAAAACCAACTTAATTAATTAAAAAGCATCTTGAAAAAATAGTTGGCCGGGACCAAAAAAAAGGGAATTTATACTAAAATGTTACTTTTTAAACTTAAAAAACTAAATGACCTTGGGAGTAGGCATGGACTTGTCCCTATTGGCAATATTGTAAAACAACCAAGATACCAGAATTGCTCTGATACCAATTGTTGTAAAACAAATCACCGGATTGAGATATTGAAGTTATATGACAAATAATAATGAAGTATATAATCAAGCAAAAAAATAAAGACAAGAATATGATAGAGGAATTAGGAAATTTTAATGAATCAAAAATAACCGAGAAGGAAAAAAATTATAATAGATCAGATAATTCTATTAATTTATTTTCTCACACCATAAAATTGTATAAAAAAGCCTAGTATTTATAGGGAACATGTAAGGGATGTCAAAACCTTCCTAGTAGAGTTGTTGATAAGTAGGATACCAAAAAATCAAGTCCAAAAGAAATTCCAACTCCTAATGGGCTTCCAAAATAAAATTTCAACTTGACATAGGACTCCAATAGCATTTCAAACTGAATTCTTCTTGATGTGCACTTCAATTGTTTCAACAAGAAATTCGGGTCACACCCAAATTCTAATAGACAAGTAAGACTTATGGAAGACATAAATCATTTGATGTTACATGTATAGCACTTCCAACTAATGAAGCAACAAAGAAGTATTACGGATGTGACAACCAACATTTTAAGAGATCAAATCAAGAGAGCTTAGGTAAATGGATTCTTTTATACATCGGATCAAGATAATATTTTATATGAATAAGTGAAAACATTACTAGTATATTTAATAAGAGTTCTACATTTCAAGG